ATTGAGTCGTAATAGTGAAAATAGGTGTGAGCGTGTGATTGCGAGAAATTAATTAGATTTATACTTAATATTTGTGTTTGATCATTTTTTTGTAATTAAATAAAGAATTGTTCTTATTGTTATTGATATTTCATCCAACACTAACATGTAATGCAGATGGTAAAGCTGTATAAGATCAGGAACTCGACAGACGTGTCTTTTCGTCATCCATATTTGCACACAGCTTCCTTCCTTTTGACACCAGATGTCTCTTTTATCACTTTCGTTTAGTTCTCTCTGTCTCTGTCGCACCTATAGTTCACTCTCAAATCTAATTACCATTAAAAGCAGTCTATATATAGTGTGTGTGTCCTTTTTTTATAGTCAAAACCCGAAATTGGTTTTTTCTCTCTCTTCTTCTTTCTATCTCACTCATAGTTCACTCTCAAATCCAATTAATATTAAAAACGATATATATATTTTATAGTCAAAATTCAAAATTAGTCAATATTAGTTTTAATTAGTTATTTGTAGAATTACCGAATTAATTCTTTCATTAAAAAGTCTGAGAAAAATTGTCTCAACCTAATCATTTTATATTTACAAATAAAGCTGCATTTATATGAAGATTTTTAAAATTTCGCGGAATAAGAAATGGCTTTTGAAATTATATGTCCAGTATTACAGAATTGGAGAAGCAAATGTCATAGCATGTGGAGAAATTTTCCAAGACATTTGCTTTCCGCGAAATACTGCTCGTTGGAGGAGGAGCAAGGAAAGATAACCTGCCATGTTGAATACTATTTCGTGTGTACTCAAAAATAAACCGAGATTTTCAGTACCATGCTGTTTCTGCATAAAACGAGACGACTGAAGCTTGCCAATGGTTTAAAATATATTTTTATGATAAAGCCCTCTTCGTTTCTTTTGGAGTAATATAGTCAGTGATATCTATATGTAGGAAATAAAATTATAGTACTTTCAAAATTTAATCGAAAATAATCGTTGGAAAAATATTAATTTATCAGTCTATTTTATGAATTATAATAAATAACAATGATTTAAATGTAGATATAATTATTGAATTTAGGAAATTGTGAGTGAAGTTAAATTTTATTTGAAAACTCTAAATGTTTCGTAATTCTACAACATATTAATAAACGTGCTTCTAAAATTTTTGAAATGCTCGAAGAATTTCTCCAGATAAATATCAGATTTATTACTGTTCGCTATATCATCTCGGTTATCTCACTTTAGCGAGGATCTAGATTATAATAAATTTTAATTATCGTACTAATCCGACTAAAATGTACTTTTACTCAGTGCTCTAAAAATATATTTTAAGGCAATGTACGCCAATAAATTATTATAATTACTTCAATGCATTTTATCATATTCTATCAAACTTTATTTATACTGAGAAATACAAATTAATAGGATACGATTTTTTTTTTTTAATATTAATTTATACTTAAATATACAATTAATAATAAAATATATAGTATAATAAAAATTTCACAAAGAAATATTCAATAAAATAAAAATATTGCAACGGAATACTTAATAAAATAAAAACATCGCGACGAAATATTTAACAAAATGAAAATATTGGAATAAAATATTAAATAAAATAGGAAAATATTCCATGTGGTGGTACGATATTATTAGACACGAATTTTGCCGACGCGAGATGAAATCCATCCTTCGGTGGAAAATCGTTGATTTTAAATGGAATTTGAAAAAGGGGAACGATGGTAGGAATGAACAAAGATAGAATTCGAGGAAATACCGGAAAAGGAAAATTGAGAGAAAATTCGTTCACATTTGCGCGAGTCTGGACACCATATTATATACTTGCGATAGTGCACGGGGGTGCAGAAAGTCTTCAAACATAGAGAAACAAAAGAGCAGAAAATTGACATCTAAAGAAATCAGTGAAGAGGAAATTTGGCGATACAACCAGCGCAGAGCTTTTTTTAAAGAGTATATCTATATAAGAGTATATATTTTGATTTTTCCAACTGTCTTTTATTCTCGAAAAACGAAATATCTATTTCGTAAAAAATTCTTTTTAAATAGTGATTTCATAATAATTTAAATTAATATTAGAATAATCTTAATAATAATAATTTCTTTGTTAAAGCAACATTTTCTTTCCTTCCCCTTTCTCATTTCATTTTTATAAATATTAAAATTATATTAATTTCGAGAAAGATAAAAAATATTTTCTTAAAACAGAACGATTTGTGTGATTATTAAAAGGACTATCTTTTACAATAATTTTCTTGTTCAAATATTATATTTCTTCCATTATTATTATTAATTTTTAGATACGTTTGAATCATATTTATTTAAAATAAAAAGATAAGAAATTTTTTTTTTAAGAGAACAATGGCAAAAATATAATTGTCTATCTTTTTAAGGAAAACAATGTAAGCTATAATTATACATTTTTAGTATTTTTCTGAATATTTATAATTCACTACATTTTTCTGTTTTTTCCTTTGAATATTTCGCTGAATATTTATGATCGTCTACATAATTTATATTTTTGATTATTCCAGAATTATTTCCTAAAATGAGAATTTCATCATATTTGCAATAGTTTATAATCTCTTGTGAGCTTTTACTGATGTATTTTTAAATATGATGGCCTATGAGATGGAACTGTGCGTTATTTCGAATTATTTGAAATTTGCAGAAATATACGATATCAAACATAATATCGATAAGAGAACGTTCATGAGTGCAGACAGATGTTTCAGAAATGCAGATATAGTACAGACGTTCAACAGTTATTCGATTTACCATGACGATCATTAATTACAATTTGAGTACGTTTTTGTCACAAATGACATTTCGTATTGAAGTTATTTAAAATCCATATTTCTTTTATCCAAGAAATTAGTTACTTTTTAATTAATTTCAATAATAAAATTTAATTTTTATATTTTCAAATTAATATTTGTTAATTATACTTTTTCTGATTAAGTATGGAATATTGGAACAATAAATTCGTTACATTATTGGAAATCTATAATTAATAAAATATTTCCACTGCATTATTGAAAATATACAATTAACGAATTTTATTTTTTATTATTATATTTACTACTTTATCTTATGATGGAAGAAAAATTATTTTTCATTTCTTCATTGTTTCAGGTAAATCGGATAATGAGTTTCTTTGTGCACATGGGACGACAGACAATACTCTTAAGAGTAAACTTGTTCCTGGTAATCCATGTTTGCCGTATGCACGATGAATGCAAGGATAATTAATTACGGACTGCATAGTAATTACTCACGCGAGAAATTAGCGAATTAATTTTGTAAAAACACGAGTGACCTATTGTAATTAATTTCCGTTAAACTCGACAATCCCACTAAACGATCCCCTTTACTTAAAAATTAATGATACTTCCACAGTATATTTAGTAAACATTTCAACAAACTCAGCTCAATAACACAAACATAATAATACAATTATTATGTAGGGCTCTGATTATGTAAAACTAATTTACAACATATAATTAATCAATAATAGTGGCAGGTCAATAATTAAAAATTATACTGAATAAATTTGAAAAATAACATTTTAAATTTTTGACCTGCCACTATTACTAATTAATGATAACGTAACTTTTATAATTGACAATATTAATGTTCCCAATATTAATCTAGAAATTAGTATAAAAAATTAATATACACAAAATTTTGCAAAAATTTTAATAAAGGTTAATGAAAGATTAAAAAGTTTTTAAATTATTACTATTTAATTGAATTGAAAAAGATAATAAAACAAAGGTAGACTGACAAATTTAGCAAATTCTGAATCTAAGCAGCTTTTTGCTGGAACATTGATTAACACTTAACACGTTGGAACAGCGTTTTGCTTGCGTAACTAAGACCATGGATTAAAGGGAGTATTCGGGATGCTATTATTTCAATAGACCTAGATTAATCGATTCGAAGGATCATCGAGCCAGAACGTGTCTTGACTCTTGGATCAATTTTATAGAGCTATTAGAGTAAAGTTACTAGAAATAATTACTAAAATCTTACTAGAAATGGATTAATTTTACACAGCTATTAGAGTAAAGTTACCAGAATTAATTACTAAAATGTTACTAGAAACGGACCAATCTTATACAGTTACTGCAGTGCAGTAATTAGAAAGTTACTGGATATAATTTGCACCTAAGATAAAATTCTTCTCATTCTTGCTACAATGTCTATTTAATTAAGTAAGAAATAATTACTAAAATCTTATAAGAAATGAATTATTTTCACAAAGCTATTAGAGTAAAGTTACTAGAATTAATTACTAAAATGTTACTAGAAATGGACCAATCTTATACAGTCATTGCAGTGCAGTAATTAGAAAGTTACTAAAAAGTTACTAAAAATAATTTGCACCTAAGATCAAATTCTCCTCATTCTTGTTACATTATCTATTTAATTAGAAATTATAGAATATAATTAAAGGTATTTTCAAAATTCATATTAATTCTTTACTAAAGTTTGCTATGGGATAATATTGAAAATTTAACAATTTATAACAATGAACCTCCGCTATTCTAATTTTATCCAAAATTTATTTGTATATACGTGTATAGAGCATAATGAAGTATATAAATATCAATGTAAATAACAAAGAAATTGTTTTTTAACAGTAAATTGTTACAAAATTCTTTTGCTTATTTTTAAATTCATTTTAATTTTATTTTCAAATTATTATAGTCTAAATTTCCAAATATCCTACTCAACAAATTTGCGACATCGGTTTCAGAAATTAACCATATGAAGAAGAAATGAAATTACAATTCTGACATCATACTTCGATTATTTCGTTTCCTCGTTTTATTTCCATGTATAGGAAATTCAATTTTCAATTTTTAATTCAAATATGAATAATGAATGCTTCATGCGATACTAAAACAATTTAATTAATTGCACGTAGATGCAGCAACTGAGAGAATAGGAACATAGAAATGGGGACAAGAGGCATAAGAACTTACTTGAGACCGACAATAATTTCCATGGCTGAGTTAAAGTTTCCGGTATTCCAACAGGTCTGAGCTACTCGTAGGAGGCAGGACAATACTGCCTGCCTTTCTTCTATCGTTGCGCCGCTTGTAATCGCGTGGGTGACCCATGAGCTTACCTACGAGTTTAGAATTCCAATGATGAAGCAAGTTGTTGAAAAGATCAGAAACATAAATCACGGAAAGAAGCAAGATTTATTACCTATCGCGAATACATTTAATAGGATTATCCAAGAATGTAAATACAAATAATTCTCTATATGTACATAATAAAATTGCCACGAAATAAAAATGTACATAATTGAACAGAATCATAAAATAATTATATATAAAATATATTAAATAATATTCAATAATAATTTAAAATAATTTAATATTTATTCAATAATAAATAATTAAAAGATATGTACAAAATGAGTATTTTGTACAATCAGCAGGATGCTTACAAAATTTACAAAATTACAAAATCTCAATTTTGAATAACCTTTCTTTGGTATAGTAATAGAGTCAATTACATTATCAAAATTTTTGTCTTCTATCTAATATCGTGCCTGTTATATGCCTATTGTTTATATCTTAATTTATCCAATATTTATTAATCTAATATCTAAGTACGTGTCTACGTATTTATTTATATCATAGGTACTTTTTTATCTATAAGATTAATCATTTTTAATTATCTAGCTATTTATTATTATCTAATATTAATCTTAAGCAACTCTTCTATTTCATGTCTAGGACAATGCTGTATTGCTTTATGTTACTCTATTTTACTTGGTCCCTATCCTATGTGATTCTATTTGCAGGTGCAAGACTTTTAGCTAATAAGAAAAATACGAATGTTCTATGTTGTGACTTTGTCAAGAAAGATGTTCATATTATGTTATTTATGAGCAGTTAAATTCGCATTCCTTTTGTTAGCCACCATATTCTTTCACGGTACGCTGCGCCGCCTGGTGGCAGAGTGCGGAATTGTACCATGGCGGAGCTAAATAGCATGACGAATTTACGAGATCTAAAGAGAATCACGGTGTAGAGATTTAGAACTTGGGTTACAGGACGTGGTTTGGACTTTGTTAGCCATCTAGAGTGACATATAACTGGGAAGTTACGTGCACTTGTGTTTAACATTTTATTCTATGCACTTATGGCTAATTTACCACACTCTGATATTTTGTTAGTATAATGGAACCAAATAACTCATTTATAAGAATTTTTTAATTTCAGATATAAAGTTCAGGTTAAAGTAAGAAAAAGCAATCAAATATATCTTTCCTTTTTCATAAGGAGACACAATATTTCAAGGTTATGAGATCAAATAGTGTTGACTAAAGAATAGAATAGAATATTAAAGTAATGTGATATCAGTGAATTCAAACTTTTAAGTATTATTCTAGTACTAAATATTTGTGATGCTTTTTAAAATTGGTATTATAGATTAAATATTTAATAATGAACTGTAACGCTCGAAAAATTAAAATTAGAATATGATTACTCAAAATAGAAATTATAAAACAGATGTTTATTTGATGTTGGAAATTAAAGTGTTATACAGGGTATATAGTGTAAAACTGCTGGTCTTTAAAGCGGACGAAATTAGCGAAGATTAGAATGTTTTTGAAATTGAGGTTATCCGATACTTGAAGGGTAGATGGCGTTAAAAGACCTATCGCAGTAGACCTTATCCTAATCGTCAAACTTTAATTGAACATTACGTAATACAGACAAATTACAGTAACTTGATATAATAAAATTAATAGCAAAGTAATAAAATAATAAAATAAAAAATATATAATAATCTAATAAAAATTGATATAATAACTATAATGTAATCATTTTCAATTATTCAATTTCTGGTAATAACAATAATTAAATTAAGATACCTAAACAAACCTAAGCTTCTGACTAGCGATCAAAATCAACATTAACAAAAAGATTAATTACCTATTATCAGAAGCAAATATCCTAATTGTCTGTAAGAAAATTTCAATGCTATTCTCATAAATATTCTACCAAATCGTGGACTAGATCTACTGGTTAATTTACAACTATTGTTTACTTAATCCTAGCCGTACACTTTACTCGTGCTCGTGAAGAGATTTTTAAGAAAATTACCTCATTAAAACGGTTGATGAGTGTTTGAACGGAAGAAAAGAGGTTGGGAACAGGCCAGTTAGACTCTTCCTCGGTCTGGGTCGAGCTGTTGGTGGTGCTGGGATTGCAATAGCTGCGACTCGGCGACGGGGGTGGCCTGGCAGGTGGTTTCTGCGCGTTCTGATCTTGTGCCACGTGCCTTAGGTACTCTTGCGGTGGTACCTGGTAGAACAGCTGGTATTCGGTCTCCGTCAACCTGAGCGCCACCTCCTCGGGGAAGTGCAGCAGCTTGTGCAGATCCTCCAGCTCCTCAGAGCTCCGAGGCGGCTGCGGCTGCGGCCGCTTCTCCAGCTCTAATTAAACATTGTACGTTGACTTTAATATCCCGCTGTGTAAAACATTACACAAACAGACTCCTCTAAAGTTTCTTAAGAAATTAATTTCTTTCCCCCATCGATTCTCCGTTCTTCAAGGCTATGCTAACAATGTACGAATAAGGAACTTGCAAATTGCTGTTCCTTCTAAACAAATTTCTTCGTTTCTCTCTTTTCCTTTTCAATATACACTTCTCCAGCTGTTTCATAGGATAAATAGTATGAGACTGGATCGAAGTAGTTTGATTTATTTGATTCTTGGTTGTTAAGGATTTTATAATACAATCTTATGCTGTGTTCTTTAAATACGTGTAAGTGTTATATTAAAATGGCTGTTGAGAAAATTTTATTTCATTTATTCCGTTTTAAATAGAATTATAATTGTGTCCAAGACTAAGTAAAATTGCATTTCTTTAGAAAATAATGAAGGATATTTTTAGCGGTTAACCCTCGAATGACGATGGCCATATTAATGTTGGATGAAACATCAATAACAATAAGAACAATTCTTTATTTAATTACAAAAAATGATCAAACACAAATATTAAGTAGAAATCTAATTAATTTCTCGCAATCACACGCTCACACCCATTTTCACTATTACGACTCAATTACAACTGACTTATGCCCAATCTCTCTGGTTTGTTCTTTCTGCTTTCATACATTACATGACATACACAATTCACACAACACCTCGATCATTACACGCATACTCATTTATCACGATAACCTGAATCCATTAGATATTGACATCCCATGCACACTTGTCCCACTCGTCCCTTTCTTACAGACATCGCTCCTTTATTATATCAACAGATATATATTCAAAATCTATGTTAACCATAACCATAGAGAATTTTCGTCGTGTAATACGAGAATGAAACAGAAACAAACTTGAAAAGGAATAATAGGGTGTAAATAAGTTACGATGAGAGGACCATTTCGTTCGTGGCCATTTTTAATTGAGTTTTCGCGATAAATTGACACTCTTGATACTTATAAACATTTGACATTCGACATTAACAATTAACACTCTTTATAACGTGTATTTTTAGTTTATAGTAAAATAATTTTGTTACTTTTTCAGGAATGTGAGAGCATTTTGAAAATATTAATGAAATTAGGTTTCGTCGATTGATATGAGCCTTATGTGGAATAATATTGTTTATAACGTTTATGTTACTAATTAAGAAATAAGAATTTGTTTGTAACAAAAATACTGCAAAATGTGCAAATGAAAATTGAAAGAACATGAAAATACTTTATTTATATGGTATATGATAATGAAACTGTAATAGTATTGAATACTAATTAAAAAATTAATAGTTATATAATAAACTTAAACTTACAGACATTGCTCCTTTGTTATATCAATACATATATATTAAAATCTATGTTAACCATTACCACAGGGGCTGGCTATGAAACAAGAGAGATTTGTTATAGGCACACTTTCCTGATCTTTCTTAAAACTGACTCTTACAATTGACTTTGATAAACTGACACTCTAAACTGAAACTGATAGATTGATACTGATGGACTACCCTTCCAAAACTCTCTTTGCACACTATCCTCTCACGCCCTTGCACCCTTACTTTTAAGCATTCATTCTGTCCTCTTTCATACTCAGGCTTTCTTTCTTAATCATAACCTTTCCCAAGGTCTGGCAATCTCTGTGGGCCAGGTACTTCAATCACTGTGGAACTACTGGCAATCACTGTGGACTTTATCATAAACATTCTTTGCAGTCAGTCACTTTTGTTCCAAGCCCAAACACTCTTCACATTCCTTCAGGGCCACACTCATTCCATTCCTACATCTATTCTTTAAAATTTTTCTTTTCAATTTTCCCAGAAGGTAACTTTGTGCAACCTTGCAAATACAGTTATTGTGAATTTATATTATTTTTCAAGAAAAAGTTATTTCATTCACAAGAATTTCTGAACTAATATCCAATTTTGACACAGTTTTAGGTATATGGATGTCTATTAAAAATAATTCATTAAAAATTTGTATACATTTTTCTACATAATACCTGTACTGTACTGATTTTACTTACTGATTCATCCAGGATTTTGTCAAGTAAATTATTTCTGATCAAGTAAGGTAGTTAGACCCGAAATCCTGTAAGCTCCATGATTTCTAGAGAACCATGGGTAGTTGTTCGAAGCTTCCTCGTGTAAGCTGTGTTCATTAGGAACCTCATCCCAAGAGTTTTGCTATCATTGCAGCTAGCTTTATCAAGGATGAAGTGATGCTCGGATAATGCTTGTTTGGTAACGCGCGACTGTGTAGTGTCCGTGACGAGGTCATTGGTCATCCATCATCAAAAACGCCATGAACGTTGCGCCCTGGGATACTTACAATCAGTTCTAGGGAAGCACTGAACAACTAGAGACCATAAAAGACTTTTCGACGGGCGTGGAATTATAGCCAAGTAAAGAGGGTACTTCCCGAGAAAATACAGACCATTTCAAGAAGTAATAAAGTACCGGGAACATCGGTAGAGCATATTGGCTAGCATGTGAGGCTATGTAGGATATGCCCCCTCAAATTTGTTATTCTTCCTACTTTTTTCAATTTTTAATTGGATTCGATTTAAATCGGTTTAATATTCAATTGGAAGTAATTTTCGTTACTTTTTCTAAATTTGTAATTTCTTATTGACAACAGGTAGAGATATTGGCTAACTAGCAAGTGAGACTATATAAGATATGCTCTCCCAAATTTGTCATTTTCCCTACTTTTTTCAATTTGTAATTGGATCCGATTTAAATTGATTTAATATTTAATTGAAATTAATTTTTACTACTTTTCCTCAACTTACAATTTTGTATTGACAGCAGATAGAGATATTGGGTAACCAGTAAGTGAGGCTATGTAGGATATGCCCTTCCAATTTTGTTATTCTTCTTAGTCTTTTCAATTTTTAATTAGAATCGATTTAAATTTGTTTAATACCCGATTGGAATTAATTTATGCTACTTTTCCTAAATTTGTAATTTCTTATTGACAACAGGTGGAGATATTGGCTAACTAACAAGTGAGACTATGTAGGATATGCCTTCTTAATTTTGTTATTCTTCTTAGTCTTTTCAATTTTTAATTGGATTTTTTATTCTTCTTAGTCTTTTCAATTTTTAACTAGAATCGATTTAAATTTGTTTAATACTTAATTGAAATTAATTTATGCTACTTTTCCTAAATTTGTAATTTCTTATTGACAACAGGTAGAGATATTGGCTAACTCACAAGTGAAACTATGTACGATATGCCTCCCAAATTTGTTATTCTTTTTAGTTTTTTCAATTTTTAATTAAAATCGATTTAAATTTGTTTAATACTGGATAATTGGAACAGATTTTTTATTTTTAATACTTTTCCTAAATTTCTAATTTTTTATTAATAGTAATAGAAATATTGACTAACTATCAAGTGAAATGATGTAGGAAATGCTCTTCCAAATTTGGTACTCTTTTCACCTTTCCTAATTTTGAATTAGAACCAACTCAAACTGGTTTAATATTCGATTGTAACCAATTTTTAATTTATAATACTCCTCTTAAATTTCTAATTTTTAATTGTTAGTGAATATAATAAAGGGGGGAATACAATCTCCCAGATTTACAGTTCGCACCATCTCCCTAATTTTTAATTGATAATAAACAGAGATATTGGCAATGAAGCTCCAAATTTTTAATTCCTCAGCTGATCAATTGAAACGATTGTGATTGTTGACATATGCTCCTTGATCTAAATGCCGTAGAGACACAGAGAGTTTTGTACTATCAGACATTTAATATCACGAGTGCGCCACTTGACCTCTGATGAAGTTAGGTGCAGTGTTAGAGATGTTGCACAGAACTGGCTATTGTAGTATAATGCTCTAGATTCTCCATAATTCACTTTTATATTCAGTAGAATATTTTATATTGTTAACTTAAATATATATATATTATATATCTTATTGTTTAACTATTGATTGACAATCTATTGTCTAGTGAACATCCCTTTGTTACCTGGTCTTATTGTACACTGTTGTGTATTGTCAGACTAACTCTGATATACACATATAATTCTGTCAATCATTTGATGATTGACAGAGTTACAAGATGTTTCCTCTAATAAATGACAGATATATATATATCGACATAGAAATTATCACCAATTGTATGCTGATTCTAATGAAGACTGAAGACACAAAAGAATCTTCATAAGATAATGTTTCCATATTGTCAAAAGAATTTTAATACAAAATTTGTATTCTTGAAAGACACTAACTGATAATACATCAAATATTAAAATTAATTATATTTCAAAAAATTAATTATATTACTAAAATTAATTATATTATTAAATTAATTACACACGTCCTTTTTATTATATAAAATTTGTATCTTATTTAATATGGTATCAAATTAATTTCCACATTTAAAATTATTAGATCACATACCCTTTGTTAAATTTTACAGAAGAACTATAATAAATTACGACAAAATACCTGAGATATCGACGTATTTTTATTTGCACAAAATAACAAACAGATAAATAATTAATCTCTGTTCTAAATAAGAAATATAGTCATCTACATCACTATTTAGAGTATTAAATGTATATATACCAATCTCAGACAAATTAATACTAAAACTATCAAAGGAATCAAAATGATTTTCCTCAGCCTTTTCATTTTTCTCATTAATGCAACTGCATAGTTTCTTTCCTGTCAAAGTAGTCACTGATTTTTATTTAAATAAGAACATAAATATATATAATCCTTCTAATCATTATTATCCATGTAGAGCATATTTAAGTACACATTTGAGGTCTGTAGCTCTACCGTTAAAATTAAAGTTAAACTATAATCGTCAGCCCTGTTTTATCATATTACGAATTGTCCTCCATTAAAAATTTTTCTTCCTAAATCCCCGTACGTTGGGCCACGTAGCACAGCGACGAGCGCGTTAAGTAAAATGGTTACA